TATATATATATATATATAATTTTTTTTTTTTTACTTGTGAATCTGTAGAATGTCTGTGCTGAATTTTCCATTTTCACTCTGTTAATTGTTGTGCATCTGTCTGAACTCAAGGGGGAGCTCTTGGATTCTCATCTGATGTCTTCATTCTGGATGCGGTTGGAGGAGGGGATATGAACCTTGGAGAGCTGGCTGACCTCACTGTTGCCAACGACAATGACCTCACCATTGACGTTAGTATAATAAGCAATCTTTCCTCCTCAACCGAAAGCATTTTTAATCATTAGAGTGACATTTTATCACAATTATTTCTGCAGTTTATAAAATGCTCTATATCTGCATATTTCACACAAAACTGGATTAAAAATGCAATTGAAGTGACTGAAAACATTACATTCAGTTCCCACTATATTCTTAATCTAATATTGTTTCTGTCACAAGTACTTTTTAAAAGTATATAATGAAGTGTAGTTTTTCACAAGGAATAGTATCCTTTGATATGATTAGTTGCAGGACAGTCGAGAAGAGTTCAAAAAAACGTGGAACCCTCGCTTCACGCTACGAAGCCACTTCGACGCCATCCGAGCGTTGACCTTTCACCCCAGCCAGGCCGTGCTGCTGTCTGCCTCTGAGGATGGAACACTCAAACTGTGGAACCTCAATAAGGCAATGCACTCCAAAAAGTAAGAAGCACATCCTAACCCATTGGTCCAAAACAAAGACACACAAACAAGGCTGAGAAGACCCATATTTTACAAGTTTGTGTTCGTGTACGTGTCTCTGGAAGTGTGTTTTAGAAATATAGATCCGTAAAAGATTCTTTTAGCACTGTCTCTCTGCGTTCTAACATGGAAGCCTCTCATTTTTGCCTTCACAGAAATGCAGCGCTGGACGTTGAGCCCATTTATACATTCAGAGCACACAGGTGAGTGGGACAGGTTTATAATTAGACTGAGATCGACTCCCTAAAAATGAAATTGCATGGCCTATGGCTAACACACTCTGCCAAGTGCTCAAGGCTAGATTATGGGGCGAAAGCTGTGTTTTAAAACCTAGTGGGCTTCCAAAGTAGCATCTGAACTGAAAAATGAACTGAAACCAGAGATGAACATTATACTGCTACCATTGGTTATTATCTTATAGTGTAGTTTTTTTTTGTAATTTATCAGTGTTTGTATCAGTAGATATTGTAAGTTTAATTGTACATGCTAATTTTCCCTATATTTACATTTAGATTACCTTTGCTTTTCCTTTGATTTAATGCTTTCTTAGCTAATTTTATAGAAGCCCATTTTCACCATTGAATAACAAACAAATAAGGCAATAGTTACTTTTTATCTCACAATTCTGACTCAAAAATAAACTCAGGATTACGAAATATAAACTCAAAATTGTGAGTTATAAAGCCAGAGTTGTGTTATCTAAACTCATTAGAATTGAGAGATAAAAAGTCAGAATTACCCTTTTTATTTTTTATTCAGTGGCAGAAAGAAGCTTCCACAAATCTTTGAAAACACTAATAACCGGGTCACTTTGTAAACTTTGGCAAATTGCAAAACATCAATTTTTCCATATAGTACATTATAATGTTTAATGCCAAAATGTACTTGTAGCATTCGGTTAGTGTTAGTGTTTTACTATAATTTTTTATTAATTTAGACAAATTAGTTAAATATCTATAATTAATTGATTACATAACAAACACAAAATAGTTACCTGCCATGAAAAAAATATATATGATTGAAAATGATCAGTATCTGCTAAAATAGTAAAATCTGTCCATCTGTAATTGAAACTAATAGAATAAAATAAAAATAATAAACGCATATTCTATTAAACTAAAAAAGGCACACATGGTTTGAAATAGTTATCTTTTAATTAGTTCTTAATACATGCAGTGACACATCTGGAGTGTGGCTGCGATTTCATAAAATGTTGCTCACTAGCAGCTCACTAGGCTTTAGAAAAGTGTGTTTTCCCTTCATCATTAGCTTTGTTTTTTTTGGACATGCACTGTGGCAAAATCATGGTATTCTTTGAAAATCCTTGGATAACAATGCTATTGAAACCAATCAGCCATACAATATATATATCAAAGTTCGAGTGTATTACCAGTACCACTACAGTATTTTTGTTGTGTTTTTTAAAAATATTTTGTGTATGTGTGTGTGTGTGTGTGATTCAGTGGTGCTGTTCTTTCTCTGGCTATGGGGGAGGAAGGAGAATCATGCTTCAGCGGCGGTCTGGATGGCACCGTTCGTGGCTGGAAGATTCCCGACCTTAATGTAGATCCTTACGACAACTATGGCAAGTCAACCTATTGCTGCACTTGCAAGTTACACAGTGTGATTAAAAACAGTGGTTAACACAGTCCTCTAGAGGGCGCTGACTGTAAATGAATTTGGTAGCACAGTGCGAGACATAAATGTTGTGTATAAATGCGTTCAGATCCCGGCGTGGAGAGCAGCGTGTTGTCGGGCCATGAGGATGCGGTGTGGGGTTTGGCCTACTCCTCCAGCCTGAAGCGTTTGGCCTCCTGCTCTGCAGATGGGACTGTACGGATCTGGGACCCCCATAATTCCTCACCGTGTGTGTCTGTTTTCAACAAGGAGAAAGGTGAGGAGAAGACCTTGTGTGCTTGGATTGTTTGTCTTTTCTGTTCGTCCTTCTCACTCATTGCCTGTCTCTTTCAGAACATGGCACTCCCACCTCGGTTGCCTTTGTAAACTCCGACCCATCCCAGGTTGTTGTGGCCTTCGATGGGGGCGAGACTCTGCTTTATGACCTCAACACAGAGCAAAGCATCATGGTCTTGGAGAACCAGGCTAAGGATGGTAAGTGCCAGTTCATATAGGAATAAACATTTACAAATTATGCTCACCAGCAAACAATTTTATTATTATTATATATTTTTTTTAAACTATAAAATAAAATGGTTACTTAAGTACTTTATTAGAATGCCATTTTGGGAAAAGTCATGTAAAAAGGTGTGAAAATTGCTTTAAATAAATTAAATAATATTATTCTTAAAATATGTAATTCTATAAACTATACTTAGAATAATAAGGTTCTATTAATTTACATTAGTTAATGCTTTAACTTATAAAAAAAACTTAAAAGCTATACATTTATTACAGTATTTATTATTTTTTTAAGTTTAGTTAAAAAAAAAATAAAGCTATTTATTGTTATTTCATGTTAACTCAGTTCCATTAAATATTACTGTTAAGTTTTACCTGATACAACTTTTTATTTTAATAATGTATTAGAAAACGTTGAAATTAACTAAGATCAATAAATTAATTCGTATTTTTCTGTATTTTTCACTGTTATTTCATATGAATGAAACCACTGTAGGTAACTAGTCTTAAGAAATGGAACCTTACTGTAAAGTGTTATATCGTATTATTATATTGCCTTGAGAAAGCAAACATTCTGAAATGCTATTTAAACTTAATATGCTTCTTCTTCTTCCCAGATAGCACACATACGTCTGCAATATATATGTTAAAGATCGCTTCATCTGGAAAGCATCTGCTGTGTACAAACATCTGATAGACGTCTTTAAGATGTCAGTTTTACATACATTCTTAATCATAAAAGACATCTTCTAAACATCTATTTGACATCTAATAGGAAACGTCCTATAGACGTATTGCAGATGAGCAAACACTCTAAAAAAATACGTCTTGCTGATGTAAATGCAGACGTCAAATAGAGGCCTCTGTGATGTACATGTGCTATCAGGGTTCTGAGACCCAAATTTCTGACTGTATCTCCTCCTAGGGCTTTAATGCTACAAGCACCAAACTCGGCAGAGACCTGGGCCCTGAAGTGTAGTTTGTTGCTATATCTTTTCAGACTGATCAGACTTGTAGCTTTTATATAATTAATCATCAAAAATAAAAAAATTCCCATATACTTACATTGCCAGAGCAAAAATGTCCCCTCTAGAAGACAATTGCTGTCTGGTAAATCAGAGGGAGCAGCATGATAAGAAATCTTTCAACTCCACTCTCTTACTTTTGTTTTTAATCGATTATATTTCCAAATAAATACATACATTTCATTCACACTCACAAGCTAAACCAACATATTTGATCGTGACCAGGTCAGGACTCAACAATAATGACTGATGGCCAGAGGCCAGTGTGAAAGACGCTCGGGACAGGACAGATGACTGATAAGCTTCTTTATTATAATACAAAATATAAAGTGTCTGTAGAAAAAAATATTACGAAATCAATAACTGGTACTTTTTTTGTGGCGGGGCAGCTGAAGAATGCCGAACACACAAGTGATCTGGCTCTTTTGCCTCAAGGCTGCCCATGTTGGCTTTCACAAGTCAACATCAAAGTTTGTTTACAAACTTTAGCCTCTAGTTATTATTATTATTATTATTATTAAATAATCCTGTGATAAAACCGAACCTAAAACACCCCTAATATATATATATATATATATATATTGAAAAAAATAGTTCCACACAGCATGTTACAAAAGTAAAATGGTTTGTGAATGCTGTTTCATGTTGACTTGATGTCTGTTGTAAAATAATAAAATATTGTGTTTTTCTTTACCACCCCTGCAGGCAGCGAGCTGATTAACTGCGTGGTCAGCCATCCGTCCCAACCGATTTCCATCACAGCCCACGAGAACCGCACCATCCGCTTCCTGGACAATAAGACAGGTGTGTGTATGTTTGTTTGTGTGTGTGTGTGTGTGTGTTGAGAGCTTGTAGTAATAGGCCCGTAATAGCACTGCGTATTTTCCAGCTGTGCACTGTGGGAACTGTAAATACACCAGCAAAGCATTTGACTCTCCTACCGTGCAGTCACAATAGACCTCTCAAAGCAGATAAAAAAGAACCTCCAGTAAAAAAAAAAACTCAATCGTATCGTACCAGACACCAACCTTTACTCACCAGTTTATATAGCAAGAGCACTTGAAGAAAAGCGAATAACATTCTTGGTGTGAAGGATTAGCCAGTGGGAAAAAAAAAAGACATCTGGAACGTGAATCCAGTGGTACATTACCTCCGGCTTTGTTTTCAGGCATATTAGGATGTTTTTCATAGATGTTTTTTTTTTTAATTAGTTTGCAATTCTCTCGTGAATCCCAGTTTTAGAAACCTTGCTTTAAAAGGATGAATTTAGGAACACAAACTTTACACAGCGTTTTCCTATTGGTTGAGCCAGAACTTGGAATATCGGACCATTTAGAAACAATATTATGTATCAAAAATATCCCACATGACCTAATCTTTCCTCCTTCCTCTCGCTGCGGCCACAGGGAAAGTGATCCATTCCATGGTGGCTCACCTGGATGCTGTAACCTGTCTCGCCACAGACCCTAAAGGCGCTTACCTCATCTCCGGCAGTAAGTAAATATACACCAACATGCAGTGTGTGACATCTGTGAGCGAAACAACATGCCAGCTGAAGCCTTCTGAGCACATCCACGTCAACAGACCACATTCTCACTGAAATGTGAAAATCTCTGCAGCTATAATTTGAGAGTTCTGTTTTTTTTTTCAGGTCATGACTGCTCTGTGCGGTTGTGGATGCTGGACAATCGCACGTGTGTGCAGGAGATCACAGCACACAGGAAAAAACACGACGAGGCCATTCATGACGTGGCCTTCCACCCCTCGCAGCCCTTCATCGCCAGCGCAGGGGCCGACGCGCTTGCCAAGATCTTCGTTTGATTTTCTCACTGGTAAATGCATATTCAAACACATTAAAACTGGATTAAGAGTTAGAAGTTAAAGCAGGGTTTCTGTGGGTATTAAAAAAGTTTTAAATTTAGTTATCAAATTTAAGGCCTTAAAAAGTCTTAAATTGTACAAGAAAGACTTAATTATGATTTCAAAAGGTCTTAAATTTGGGGACGGAAAGACCAGAATTGTGATATGACTGAATGTGACGATTACATTTCAAAAGGCTATGATTTCATTAAATAAACATGAGCGCTGCGCGTTCAATGTCCGGTGCTGCGCTGCTTTGTGTACAGCAGTTACCGGAGAAACAGTTATAATTCTACCAAACACTCCACCTACTGTCAGAATGAATGAGCATTTTCTATAAAACTGATGTTTTGTTCAGAGTTCAGACAAATGCAAAAATCGACCCATGTTTTTACCCTGCGAACACGCAGAGCTTTAAATGTGAACTGGTGGATCGATAAGAAGACAATGCATTCGAAAAAAATCTAAACAGAATAGGGGTGTGTGATATGTATGGTCTGCGATAATATCGTAATTGTTGTTTTAACGATGTGCGATTTGATATGATCGAGTATATCGCGAAAAGCAAACAAAACACCTACAGAGTGCACGCATACATTACATGATGAATTCTAGTAGGTTAGACTAGTGCGCGTGAGCATTTATAGTGCGTTCTTTCACTGCATGAATCAGTCTATTAAAATACATTTAGAATTATCACATAATTCAAGATATGGGGCAGAAAATGTATATATTTATATAATTTCATATAGTTAATAACACGAAAAGTGCCGTTTTTTTTCTCCAAAAGTCAGCATGATTACAAATGGGATCTTGTTTATTGAACTGTTGTATAAAATCAATAAGTTAATATTAAGAGACTTACATTTTAGACACCATATTTCCTGTTTTTGCTCTATTTCTCCAACAAAAATCATTCCAAACACAGCCACAGCACTGTTTTGTGTCTCTGAGCAACATGACGGTGTTTCGTTCCTGAATGAATCAACCGTTTAAATGATTCGGTTCAATCGCAATGACTCACTTATTAACAGTGACTTGCTGCCACCTACTGGCAGTTTTAATTTCACATTTAAGGTACCGTTTCATTTTTAAAATAATTTCAAAAATCAGTTTTCAATGTATTATGTTTAAAATATCAAAACATTATTTATGCATTTCATCTGCAGGTTAGAGTATTCCATGTCCCTCAGAGCTGCATTAAACTGTGTGTAAATAATGCAGCTTCTGTGTTTCCTCTGCATTGCAAATATCAATTTTGTTGATACTGATTTAATTTGCTTGGTAACAACCCAAATGCAAGAATTTGACTCAAATGATGATGCACACTTTTAGAAAAAATGGCTTAAAGGTAAAAACTTGATTAATTGGAAATGATTAATTTCTATTACTGCTGGGAACTGACCACACAGAATATGAAGAATATAAAAAAAATGCAGGAGTCAGCTGTCAGCACAATTAGAGATAATGTATCAGCACAATAACACACTCAGCAAAATATTGTCTAGTTATCAATAAAATCCCTGTAAATTATCAAGATATCATTTTTTTGTCAATATTGCACACCCCTAATTTATGCTATTTAATTGATATAATAATTTAATGTTAAAAATTGTTTTAAATTAATATAGTAATTCATACTTTTGACTAATCCATTTTCTTAAAAATGGTTTAAAGGCTGAAATGTAAAGTTTATAATTTTATAAAACTTTTTATTTTCGTGAAAACTTGTATCTGAACTGTAAATTATACTTTTTACAGTAATTTTACAGTTTAATATGGTACAATAGACATTGCCCTACCCCGCTCATATGGTATTGATTTTATTTGTGCAGGTCTTAAAAAGGTCTTAAATTTGAGCTTAAAAATCCTGCAGAAACCCTGTGCTGTGTGCGATTTGGCTGATATAAGCAAAAATATTATATATGATATTCTTTCGTTTTATTTGTTTATTGTGCATATACACCTTTTTAATGAAATGTGATTACAAATTGCAGAAAAAATGATAGTCCTATAGAATAGAACATTCCTCATGTACAGACATTCTTTGTGGTTTACTGCTGTTTATGAAAGTGACGACGTGACATGTGGCCAAGTATGGTGACCCATACTTGGAATTAGTGCATTTAACCCATCCTAAGTGCACACACACAGCAGTGAACACGAACACACACACACACACACACACACACACACACACACACACACACACACGGAACAGTGGGCAGCCATTTATGCTGTGGCGCCCAGGGAGCAGTTGGGGGTTCAGTGCCTTGCTCAAGGGCACCTTAGTCGTGGTATTGAAGGTGGGAGAGAGCGCTGTACATTCACTCCCACCTACAATCCCTGCCGGCACGAGACTCGAACTCACAACCTTTGGGTTACGAGTCCGACTCTCTAATCATTAGGCCACGACTTCCCCGAATTATGCATTAGTGAATTAAGTGACTAAGCAAATCAATGTCGCACTCTTCCCGTCAGTAGTGTGAAAACCCTCTGTTCTTTATATATACAGAAAGTGATCAAAGATCGTTCTCGTTTTAATCATTAGAGCAGCACTATAAGTGGTTGGATTTCTGCATTTTTGCCAAAACTCCCATTATAATCAATGACACAGTTTACACTGCTCAACGAGTCTCTTATTTACATCATTTCACTGTGTTAGTTATTTTGAAAGTATTCATGACACTGCAGAAATCGTGTTGCAATAAGGAGATCATTGCACCTTTTGCTCGGTAGACTCGGTAGTTCAGCTACAGTGCAGCTCTGCAACTTTTAATGCAACTGGAGTAGATCTAAATTAAATGCCATAATCATCACTTTTGACGATTAGTTCATCTTGGCGGCTGTTATAGTAAAAATGCAGTAAAAGTTTTCAAGTTTAACATGTAATGCTCATTTCATATGCAAAGATGTTAGCCAATCATAGCAGTGGGCGTGTCCATTGAATCCTTGTAGCAGACACGCCCCTTCCAATGGGGCGTTCAAATCAGAAAGCTAAATTCAAGGTAGAAAATGATAATTTATAGCTAAATCATGACTGTTTTTGATGAAAATCCATAGTAAGATTAGAAGTGCACATCAGGAATCAATATAATTAAAAAAATGCATTTCATGTCCCCTTTAATTAAAAGAATGGCCCACAATAATCACTTGTTTGTGAATCAGACTACGCTGTTAGTGGTGTATGTGTTTGTTTGCAACCATGAGGACAACTCGCTTCAGATTTAATTCACTCACAATACTCAACATACAGTATCAGCTTTTTACATGTCTCTGGAGATTCGGCCGTGAAAAAGTTGTCCCTATGGTCTGATTCAGTTCTTTATGTCTGACGCAAGTCAGCAAAAAGGCTGAAATCGCTTGCAGCTCCTTGTTAGTAGTCGTTGTAGGTGTGCATGCATATGTATGTTCACATGTGATGCCTGCAGCCTTGAGCTAATTGTTGCTTTTTTTTCTTCTCAGGGGATCCACCTTCACTACTGGGCCACAAGAATGAAACGCCGAGTATCTGCACACACACACACACACACACATGCTCACTAAATGTGAGGAACGATGTTCTACACATCACTGCCTGTGTTAAAGGCACTCGACTCGATAACCTATCATTTTTTTATGCCTCACACGTTGTGATACAAACTCTACTGCTTTCAATACTAATGAGTTTGCTGCTCATGTCCCGATTTCAGTTTTAGACTACACTACTAATAATCTGCACAGTGTGTTGCGAGGGATGTCCAATCTGTTGACGGATGGACCCATGCAAACACACACACCTTAACACAACTCACACCCTGGATTTTAATTTCATGCTCGGTTTAGGTTGAGGATTTGAAGGCTCTCGGTAAACAAGACATTACCCAAGCCTGCACATTTTCTCGATGTAAATTGCATTAGTGCTAATCTGTGAATTAATGTCCTCGCGTAACTGTTGCCTAGTAACGTGAGGCGATCGATGCATTTCATTCCAAAGACTGCTTTAGATGAGTTTTTTTGGTTGCGTTTTAGCTGCAAGTACAACACAGCTTTACCTTTAGCCTCACAGCTAAGAGCCTTAGTGTTTCAGCCTTTCGTAATCAGTTCCACACATCTCATTCTTATGACGAGTACACTTTGAACTAAAACCGTGCGTTTGTGACGGTGCTAGCACAAGCACCGTATCCAATCAGGTGGCGTTATCCGTAATAGTCAGGTGACTGTTTAGTAGTGTATTTATTGTAGTGTTCGGTATCAGTTGGAAGACTTTTTGGGAAGATCTGCAGTTGGATGCGTAACTGATTTCTGTATTTAAGCAGGATGCGCTGTAAATAGCACACTTGACTCACAACCTTGGTGCTAAGATCTCCTCTGAATCAGGGACCTGTTCACGACGAGGGTCGTAAAGTATCAAATCTCGGTTGATGCCTGCCATTCCTCGGAGTCATCACGTACGGTTCTTTGGCATTTCAGAAATACAGCCCATGCTTCGGGAATTTCAGAGTGCTTCTGGTGTGCCGAAGTGGCTTTTAAGGTTTTTGTCAGGGTATTTTTAAGACGGTAAACTCGATATCCATTAAAAAAATTGAAACCAACTACAAGTTCCAGTGTTTTAGTACAGCTGTATTGTCAATTTCTGAGTTTTTGGACATCTGTGATCTCGACCCAAGTCATTTTTCCTGAAAAGTGGAGAACGAAGCAAAGCTCGAAAGGGCATTTTAAGCGATGAGAAACTAGTACCCCCCCAGTTTTCAGTTGACTTACCAAAAGTCAAAGCCCAGTGGTGGAACTTGGACAAATTCAAAAAGTCCTCTTAATGGGTTTTGTGCCATCAGTCAAGGCAAGACACAGGGTGTTTCAGAGTAAAGCTCATATGGGCTCTTTGAGTGAAAATAAAAGTGGGGCACCTTGCTTTTTATTGGCTAAGCAAGCAATCAAGATGCAACTCTGAAACTGATGAAGAATCAAACCTGAATCTGATCTTCAGGTTTCTTAGTTGGAGGGAGCCTGGTCTTGAGGTCTGGATATCAAAGGTCACATCTTGTATTAGCCAGTTTCCGTTTTGCTGGGTTTATTTTTTATGCTTTACTGGTTTTCCGTGGTCTTAGACAAGTGGCCGGAAGGCAAGTCAGAAGCAACAAAAAGACTGATGGGCCATAAAGAGCGCTCTTGCATAATGGAGCCATGTCAGTTCTTAACCAGACTTCCTCTATCCAGATTCACGCCATCCAACCAACTCAGAAAACAAGGTTTCCTACTTGGGGGTGTGATTTTTGGCAAGGAAAACCTCTTGGAGTGATTTTATTAATGGACAAGGTTATGTCTTGTCACTTGTTCAATATCGAGACCACGGATTCATTTTGGGCTATTCGCCCAGTCAGTGAATGTCACATAACCACAGACTTGCGTTTAGTGGAATCCATAATACTTTGCTGCTTACCTCTTTACCTAGTAACTTCACACCGCACACTATCGGTTAGCTTTATGCTACACTACACGTGTAGTATCACACAGTCAATTGGGTTCATCCATGTATCGCCGCATCGTTATGTTCTCTTCCAAAGACTGCCGATTGCATGGGTGTTTAGACGAGTCCTGCTGTCTCTTGTACACCTCTATTTCCGCACCCCTCGATGCAATAAGAGTCTTGAAATTACAACAACAAAACACGTTCCTTACCGAGAGAGGACGGATCTGTGTAAAAAATAAAAATAACAATTGAAAGAAACCGAAAATGTTTATATGTTTGAAAAGCTGCCAATGCAAAATGTAAGTTTCCCGTTTTCTGACTTATTTGCTTTTTTTTTACTAGACATATTATTATGATTACTAGTAAAATAAGGTGTAAGACAACAGTAGTACCTTTTTTTCTAGGCTTAATACTTGCTTGTGATTGTGTAAAAGCCTAAACAACTGAAAATTTTATGGACATTTAAGAAAAAAAAGAAAGAAAAAGTTTCAGTCCACAGCCAAGGTAAAATGACTTTTTGTTAAGTGTTTTTATTTTTTTAAAGCAATTTATCACTGTGTGATATTTTGTACATCATATTAAGCTGTATTCAAACTATATCCTCTAACTACAAGGGATAAAAAAAGACCAGCCTTTTATTTATTTTGTTTTATTATACATATTTTTAAACTGCTTTCTAGCTTGTATCGAAATACATCTTTTCCTTATACTTGTGATTTTATTTTATTTTTTGTTTGTTTACTCTGCAGGTCTTGTGTTGTATGTCATAAAAAAAAAAAAATCCAAAAACGACTAAATAAAAACATGATTTTGTACAGACATTTAATTCTTGTCTGGTCTGAACTCTGCTGTCTGTGAAAAAGTTTAAATTAACTAATACTGACCACATTTCTTTGAATTGATAAGCGTCATATTTGGGGTCTGATATAAGTTAACTAGGTGGAGGATGGAGTCAGAATCCAGGCATTTCATTTATTTTATTTCATTCATTCATTCCTCAGATAAATAAAATGAGTGTTAAATTATATAAACATATTTAATTGAATTGAAGGCTTTTTATCAGCATTGTATCGAATACAACAAAATTTCACATGCCCCTCCTATTGGTGCTTCAAAACATACACAAAATCCACAATGAGTGTCATATGATAAATAAAAGTACAATACGAAATAGCCCTTCAAGAAGAGCTGTTTAAACAAAGTAAATGGTTTAATGCTGCTACAGTACATACACATGTAAACAGCACTATCACATTCCATTTATAAACTTGATATGCAGCAGGTAAATAAGAAAGTTAAGGATTTAAGCAGTTATTGCACAGTCCACAGTAAAGTGTAATATATACAGTAAATAGTGCAGGACAGCCCTTAGTTTAGGGACTGGATAGCTTTTGGATAGAAACTATTTAATAATTTGGCAGTGCGCGTTTTGATTGCCCTGTATCGCCTTCCTAAGGACAGGAGGACAAACAGGTTATGGCCGGGATGGGAAGGGTCCTTAATATATATATTGTTTTGCTCTAGATCAGTGTTTCATAACCGGGGTGCCGTGTAAAAAATATTTTTTCTATATTTTTAAATTGCTAAAATGTTCAAAAGAGCAGCTATTATATAATATCCATTTCTGATGGCGCCAATAATTAGAGATGCACTGAAATTCCGGCTGCTGAAAATTAGTTCACCGCTCAGGATTCACTTTCACGTGGTGTGACGCTCTGCGTATTATCCCGCTCTGTGGGTGTGTGTGCTCCGCCCTGTCTCCGACCGTTCATGCTCATCGGAACAGCAAAGTCCACTCAAAAGTCCACTGACAGGAAACATCTATGTAGTACAGTATTGTTTCTGTTTGCAATAACCCTACTGTGCTGTAACAAGATGTGGTAAATGGGCAACTCTGGTAACACTGCCTTCTCATTCATTGATCTGCTAACTGTTATGCTCACGTGTCCTCTGATAATAATAGCTTTCTAGGATTAAACATTATTTGGATAATTGGTAAAAAATAAAATAAAATCTTAATAGCCCTACTGTGTGTTAGACCTACCTGAAAAACTAAAAAGCGAAAGAAGCGGTTGGGCAGCGAAGCAAGATGGCAGGTTAAGCTGCGAGCTCCCTTAAATAAGTTTTAAAACTCCGCTAAAACTCGTTTTCATACTTGTCGGGAAATTACGCGTGCTGAGAGATGAGCGGAGGAACTAAATCTAAATCTAAAAGAAACCCCGAAAAACAAGGAAAAGACTCCAACCGAAAAGAGATGGACAACATGCAAGAAAGAGTAGAAGATGGCGACCGGGAAATGACAGATTCTCTGCGCGCGGGTTTGAATAGTATAAGCAAGCAGATGCAGGAATTCCGCAGCGACCTGAAAGCGGAGCTTGGAACGTTTAAAGATGAACTCTGAAACGTGAGTTAGATGAGTTTAAAGAGGACATCAATCAGAAAATTGCGTTAACAACACAAGAAATAAAGGAACAAAATGCAAAAGTTGAGGCCACTTTGTCACGCGTTGAAGAAATGGAGTGCTGGAGCTCCGAGACTGATGGCCTAATGCATGATCTCATACAAGAACACAAAAAAATGGTGGAAAAACTGACTGACCTTGAGTCGCGGTCTAGAAGGAATAATCTGCGCATTTTCGGAGTGCCAGAGGAGACAGAGAAGGGTCTGTTATTCAATTCGTCGAAGAACTTATTCGGAGAGAACTCGACATTGACACAGACTGTCAAATTCAGCGGGCGCACAGGGCTCTGGCACCGAAGCCTAAAGCAGATCAACCCCCGAGGGCCATCGTTGTGAATTTCTTACAATTCAATACAAAGGAGAAAGTCCTGAGAAGAGCCTGGGAGAAGAAAATAATCACACTCGAGAGCAAAGGATTTTCTTTGATCATGATTACACTTCGGCTGTGGTGCAGCAACGCAAGTCATACGCTAACGCTAAGAAAATCCTGAAAGAAGCGGGGATCCGATTTCAGACCCCATTCACTAAGATGAGGATTCACTGGGACAGTGGAGTAAAAATGTACAACGAAGCGAAGGAAGGGGAGAATGATCTGCGCGATAGAAGATATTTAGTGGCTGATACCGGAGATGCAGCTGCCCCCACAACGTCACTGGAACGACTCGAGGCGAGGAATAGGTCAGCATGGCAGCAGGCCGGCAGAGAGCGGAGAGCAGAGGCAAGCAGAAGGGCACGGAAACGGCTGGAGGATTTTCGGCGAAAGAGCCCGGTGAATTTGTAAAAGACCCCTCTATATGACGACATGAACAAGAGACTAATGTACAAAGTCAAGGGGGAACAATGATCTCGACGATTGGAGTGCAATGTGTAAAATTATTTAAACAATACAGTAAGGGGCGTTTGAGTACATACTTTGACTTACGGGAGACATGGACATCTAATTGATCTAGTATGGGTGCAATAACCTATAGCAGGCTGCACCTTATATCTAGAAGGGGGCCCTCCGTTCAGCTGAGGCTTTCACCCTCTTTGGAGACAGTGACTCTAAACCCAAAGTTGTGGGTGAACATTCCCATCTGGAGGTCAGTTGATATCCTTTCAGTTCATTCAATATGTTTTGATTTATGTAGAAGTTGTTTATTTGTTCATACTTGTTCAAATGTTAGCCAGTGGGGTCATCACTCAATGAGGATTGTTGTAGAGAGAGTTAAATGCAGGAGAGAGATATTGAGATAATGTCTTTGAATGTTAATGGTTTGGGGAACCCAGCCAAAAGGGCTAAAGTGGTTGCTAAATTTAAAAAAAAGGAAAAATAAGCATATTTTCTTCTTGCAAGAGACACGCTTGTCAAATGAAGAACATGAAAATTTAAACCCAAAAGTTTGGGTTTAAAAATATTTTTTATAGCTCATGTCCAACCCCTCGTAAGAGGGGGGTAATTATTTTAATTTCAAAAGGTGTTCATTTCAGTGTCATAAAGAAATAAAGGATAAGGAAGGGAGAGACGTTATTGTTAAAGGAACCATTAATAATAACATGGTTATTTTTGTGTACGTGTATTCCCCACCGGAAAGTAATAAACAATATTATAAATTATTTGATATTGTGGCTAAGGAAATGGAGGGGGTTTGCATATGTGGAGGGGACCTAAGCATAGTGCTAAATCATGATTTAGATACTACAAGCTGTAAAGGAAACAAAAAACATAAAACAAAATTCATGAACCATATACAGTGGGTACGGAAAGTATTCAGACCCCCTTACATTTTTCACTCTTTGTTATATTGCAGCCATTTGCTAAAAAAATTGGGCCTAATAGATGTCTGGAGGGAACTACACCCATTAGAGAAGGATTATAGTCACTATTCAGCCACACATAAAGTATATTCTAGAATAGACTATTTTTTCCTACAGGAAGAAAATAGACACCGAGTAAAGAATTGTCAAATTGGGGTAGCTGACGTATCAGACCATAGCACTATCTATATGAAGATCTCTCTGGGGGGAAAAAAATAAACACGCTGTGGAGATTAAACCTAGGAATATTAAATAATAAATCAATAGTTGAACAAATTCGAATAGAAATAAAAAGATATTTAGAGGAAAATAATAAAGGTGAGGTGGACCCCTCTATTTTATGGGATGCACTCAAGGCAGTGATTCGAGGAAAATTAATAGCAATTACAAGTACTTTAAAAAAAGAAAGAGTAGCTCATTATGAGAAACTTATTTCAGAATTAAAGCAACTGGATCTTAAACATAAACATGATGCAAATAAAGAGGTGATGGCTCAAATGGGGAAATTGAGAA